CAAACTAATAGATCTGGGGTAATCAGGTTGTCAGAACATAAGAATTTAGCTAAGGGAAGACTGGTTGACCCTGAAAAGGTAAGTAATTTAGAAAAAAGCTCAGCAATTGCACTACATGCATTAAAACACAACCACACAATAGGGTGGGAGAGGGTTAAGATTCTAAGAAGTAATATAAGTAGGTGGAGAAGGAGACTGATTACTGAATCCTGGTTCATCGAGTCTACACCCAACACATGCAACAGAAAAGACTCAATGTAAATACCAGGAATATGGAAGATATTACCGCCAGTCAAATCAGAAGAGGATAATAAATAATCTCAAAATTCTATTTCAATTCAAGCACATTACAACATTCTAACAAGTTACTTATTATGACTATAAAAACACTCCTCTTATTTCCCATCTAATTGTAATTGATCACTAACACTTGTATTATTATTTCTGAATGTACATTATCTCATATTGATTTTTACTCCAATATCTAACCGATTCCACACATGTATATAAATGAAGGAAAGAAGTTGTATGAGTAACTTGATATGACTATGAGCAATAGTTTGTGCTCGAAACGTCATCAGTTAATAATTACTGTACAACACTATGTGAAAATCTATAATGGAATTTTGCTTGGCTCTCTTGTATTACAATGTTAAATTTTTACATCATTTTCGGCACTTGTAAAGCTGTATGTAATAATATAGGCAGAGTATTCAGCTGACGAATTCCAGCAAAGCTTATCAGTTGCTTATATCCTATTTTACTGAATTTCATCGAATGTTTTAAATTTCTGTCTTGTTTATAATAGCTAATAATATACTAAAAGAATTAGTTGTGTTCAAAAGAAGCATAAAATTTAGAATACAGGTGTGCACCTATGTAGCGATAAGCATTTGAGAGTACCATCTGTCATGGTTATCAGTGGATGACCGTTAGGGGGGGAGGCGAACAGCAGATTAGAAACGCCTTAAAAATACATAAGTACTAGTTACTACAATCTTTCCTTAATCTGAAACAAACTGACATAACCTAAGCATATATGAATACAATGATATCATTAAGAGCGATAAATTGTGCTCGAAACACCATCCAATTATCAGCACTGTATATTATATCAAGTTTAATATGGAATCACATCCTACCACAGTGCCTGGAGTCGATTATTACATAAATTACGATCATTTGACTCATTCAGAATTACGCTCATCAACTGTGTATCTGAATAATTAGATTCATATACGAGAAGAAGATACGCTAAGATACCATATTTCTTCATATGAACGTAGATAGGAATTTTCCAGCTGTGAAGGAGTTACCACGATGGTTATGCAAAGTAATTTAATACTCAACTTCATGTAGTCAAATGAAAAGCTTACGAACAGTTGGTAGCTGAAATAGCAACAGACAGTTACATCTAACAAACATGCTTAATCTTACCCTTTTAAATCTTTAAATATTCCCATTAATAATATAAGAACAAGACATACAAGCGAGCAATATTGTTTTCAATTAGATCTTCGGGTTTTACTCTAATTTACATATATAAATTTTTACCAATGACGGTGAGTTTGTGGTTCAAATAATAATAATAATAATATCAATAATAATAATAATACGGTGTTTTGAACGTCAGTAATAACGACGACTATAGTGATAACAAAATAATGATAATAAGGTTCATGCACGTGGCGTTAAGAATAACGAAGGTAGTGAGTGATATGTGTATATGTAGACAATTCAATAAATAAACTAGGTCATATCTTAAAAGTTACTTAATACTAAAGGTGAAATGGACGGATAATCCGAGTTTAAATAAATGTCATAAAAGTACGAAGGAAATGGAAAATAAGAAAGGGGGAGGGTATTAATTAGAATTTACCTTGGACAAGGGAGAGACAAAGGTAGAGGAAACTTCTTTTGTATGCAAAGACTAGGATTGTTCTCTCGAATTAATTCCCATGGCTTTGGCTATGTGAGAAAGGCGGGTTCAAATTCCATTCGAAAGGTCCGATGGAATGAGATAGATAACTTTGAAGACACTACCCCTGTCCAAATGATGACCGCTATCAATCAAAGGAGTCAAAATAGAACTTCTTATAGGTTTTATTTGACCTTTTCCGAACCGTGAAGGAAGATGCTCATTAATGCGTTTGTTGAGCTGTCTAGTTGTTCGACGTGTATAGCTTTTTCCACAGGAGCAGTTAAATTTGTAAATACACATAGAAGTGGCTCAGCTAGTTAGCTTGCCTTTTGCTTGAGAAATCGAACTGGTGGACAGCTGGAAAATGACAAAAAAAGGGTGGTGGCAGTATAAGTCCATTTTATTGCTCTCGATAATCTCGGATGTAAGACTTCACTAGCCACGTCCCCATTAAATTGCAATTTCAGAACAGTTGTTTCTTTTTAACTGTTGTCAGTTTCTCTTTATGGTACCTGGTGTTCATGTGTCACCTTACAATTCTACTAGGATAACCCATTTGGACCAGAGTATTTTGGATGTATCCAAACTCATTTTCTAGGGAGTCATCTGTACAGATCCGTCTTGCTCTATGCGTGAGACATCTAACCAAACTGAATTTGTATCGGATTAGTACAAAACTGAGGAAATGTGTATATTGTCCTAAAGATGTAAGTTTTCTATAAACATCCCTCTTGAGTGAACCATCCTCTCTTCTGCCCAATTGGGCATCAAGGAAGTGTAGTCTACCATCATGTTGTTCTTCACAAGTGAAGATGAGCGATGGATGTGCATCATTAAATTTCACTAACATTTCATTCTTGTCAGCCTTCACATCAAGAGTACAAAAACGTATCATCAACATAACGAAAATAAGAATCAGTTTTTATCTATTACTTCTTTCAATGGACCATTTTCAACATTGGCAAGAAAGAAATCTGCCAAAATTGAACCCAATACAGAAGCCAAGGCAACACCGTCGATTTGTCTGTAATAAAGGTTGTTGAATGTGAAGTGTACATTCATAGTATATCTTAAAAGCAACTCTTTCAGACTAATAACTGGAATTCCGATGTCGAACTGTTTTTCTAGTATCTGTTGGCGTATAAATTCCACAGTCTCCATAGGTGGTACATTGGTGAACAGTGATGCGACATCTACGGATAGCATTTGCTTCTCATTTACAATAATATCTTGTACGCTAGAAATGAATTCAAAGACGTCTTTAACACTATGATTTACCACATTCTTGTGTAACGGTCGGAGGAGTTCACCTACCCACTTTGTCATTCCATGGTAGTCGAAATTAACCTTTTAGTTAATTTTATAATAGATAAGTAGTGACGAAATGCGACTACTAGATTTTCGCTCTTTAAGAGATAACTTCCCAGCTGGTAAGGAGTTGACTGATTTAAAGGACGCATGAAATATATTTCCACCAGAGAAATGTGAACAGAAAGAGGATTTACTGAATACCTTGTGCATCAATCGGAGTAACTTTTTTCCCCTATCAGATATCATAGGATGCTGTTGGATAGGTTTGCATTAAATCCTAGTTTAAGAAAAGGAAGTGAAGAAATCGAACGTGTTGATAACGCGAAGTTGCACCCGCAAGAAATGACACATAATAAAGTTGTAGGGTTTCACCACAGATGTCTTTACAGCATTGCTCAACATGCACACAACTGAAGAATGAGTAGTATACTTTGGAAACAAACGAGCTGATGTTAAGAAATTCCACTGATTTATGTAACTGGGATAAATATTGTACTGTAACCAGCAACGGCATATCGCAGGCCAGTCATAAGTAGTTATGCAAATCTTACACAAATTTGAAGATTTCGACGGTATTTATTAAGAATGCTATATTTAAGTACCGTGTTGATGATAATATTAAAAGAACTAATCTATCATCCACATTCACCATAAAGCGAACGATATTACTCTTATACACCTTACGACGCTGAACTCAACTTGACCAACTCTTAATTTTAATTGAGCCATACTCAATCCTGTCAATTACGTTACACCAATAGATTTAATTAAGTAATTTTGTTTTAGTTTCTAGCCGGCCGACTAATGCTCTCTGCGTCACGTAATTTATATCTAGGACCTACAATTTTAATGGCATCTCTTTGGAAACATTTCTTCTGCTTATATGAAAATCATGCCAAACAATGTTTGCTGACGTAGGACTAGGTTGAGAAAGAGCTAATGAGTGGTTAAATAAAATCATGGGATCAACCCATGACGTTGTTTGACTGCTGATTATTTGAACTGCATATGGAGGTGTAGATAGCCTGATTGGGGTACCCGAGACGCTAGGAGCCTATGACTTCAGACTGTCGGTAATATGTCTCATGGTCGTTCTCAATGGGGTTGATATATATTGAATTTTCGTGTTGCTCCATGCAATTATTTCTCCTTCCGCATATTTCTGCTCATTGTAGCTCTTTTGAATGTTTACTTTCCCCCTACCTTTGTGTGAGAACTTGAACTGCTACAATTCTGTGGAAAATTCTACAATAAAACTAAGTCAGTCATGAAAATAGACTGTACATATATATATGCGAATGTACGACTTCAAAATGATATCGCTGAAAAGAGTCTCTTGGCCAGACGACTTGACTTTACTGCAAAGTATATAATAGATTGCGAGCGACACCTACTGTGTTAGGGTCAATGATAACAATTGGCTGCCTAAACCTCACATTTACGGAGTCTTGTTTGAATTTGTGATACTGTGGTTAATAGTAGAGGGTAGAAGTTATTCAATCGCTGCTTTCCATACACATCAACCCCATAGTGACAATAACCACTAGAAAGAAAATTCACTTCGTTTTCTTTATATGTTTATTATCTCTTTGACTAATATTATTATTAGAATAATTTCTACAATCAAAATATGAGGCTTTACGAAAACGAAAAAAGAAAAAAAAAGGTTGAACTGAAAGCGAATTGATTTAACTAAATTTACTTTTTTTCTCTTTTGTTGTAAGTTAATTCAATTCTTACAAAGTCATACTAGTTGTTATATAGGTGTTTATATTTTCTTAGCTTTTTCATATTCTTGTACAGCTTTCACACATTTTGCCATAGTTTGAGATGCTCGACTTATACAATCTGTAATGAAATAATCCTTCAGGGTAAGCAAACTTAGTTTGATTGGTTCTTTTGTATTCAGCTGAGATAAACTTGAGCTAATCTATAAAATATATAAGTGAATAGCAGTGTTAATAAATAAATAAATACATATATATATATATATATATATATATATATAGGCCAGAGGATGTTAAAAACATTTATTTCATATACTATTAGTAAAACTGAAAAGTGAAATATACGATTACCTGGATGAGATATTGAAAGAAGGTAGGGGGCAATTTAATGCATACAACCTGAAATATCATACCTAAAAAGTATGATATCATATAGTATTTATGATTTTATAGACACCACAACAGACCAGGGTAGCAATTAGTGGTTGATCTTGTTTCTTTTGCACTCAAAGCTCCGGCTGTTTTAAGCAAATTGCAATGGCTTCTGTTTTTTTGGAGTATTCGGTACCTAGAAACTTTTGGAAATTTATTTGGTACCCGATAGTTGATACAGGGAGGACTTTCCTCCAGTGATGGCTTTGTAGACTGTTTGGATCAGGTTGTCTAATCTCCAACTATTGATAGTTTTTGCTACATCTTTATTTAGCCACAATCGTGTTCCCAAGTAGGAAAAACTAATTTCTTACAGTAATGGGCAATATAACTGGCTTCGAAGATGCAGTAGAATTGATAGAAGAATGAACAGGTCGCTAGCCTAGATGTAACATTAGAATACAAGAGTATTTGGCAACTAGATGTACACATACAGACAATCCCCACATTTTTTTCATTTTGTGCTTCTTTACATTCCTTTCATGTTTTCCATGGTGTTTCACAAGTATCGTGCATTTCTTCTTTTCACCATCAAATCCATCTCTCCGCTATTCAATATTCTTGCAGATGATACACATATTTTTATCTGAGTTTATATACTACTTATAAATCTTGTCAGTAACACACGCCATTTAAGTATATTGTCTTTCAGTAGAGAAATCACAATTGGTCGTGTAGAAAATATGAAAATAAAACTGTACTAGGAATACCATCATCCCATGGATAACACTCTATCTGTGTGTGATATATTGAATAAGCTACTCCTACAAGAAGAAAAAAACGCAATCGACAGAGTGTATAGTTTTCTTTGAATCAAGGAATTAGACTAACAGCTTTCTAGTTCTATATGTCTTATCTTGTTGCTGTTTTTGTACTTTCTGTTACAGGATTATGCTGAGTCTGAAAATTACAATGAAACATAACTTTGAAAAAAGACAAGCCAAGCATTTTTATCATACATCTTTTTTCATATTTGACAAGTAGTAAGTCATATGTTGAATTTCTAGTGAATAACTGTTCAAAAAATGCATTCCAATTGTTGGGAACTAATTCATCAGAATAAATGAGACATAATTTTCTGTCTGAAAGATAGAATACGAGTGATAACAAAATATCAACACCGTTATTTCATTAGTATTACCTTTTAGTAATTGTACCCTTCAATCACAGTTACAGTATGCACTAACATGCACCTAAAAATCGACGATTGTGGAGTGGTAAGCTAGTGTTTTAATTTCATACGCTTCAATGGAGGTCACTTGTAATTACACATAAGATAGAATTCAGTAGCAGGACGGTTATTGCTAAACTAATATTAATTTGGAATCTAGAGAAAACTTCAGTTACTTTCGCGTATTATTGTGTTCTCTGAGCTGGGCGGTTTAATTCCGAGGCTTTCATTGTCCATCTAAACAACATCTTCAGTGCTAACGTTCATTGGAAGTGAATTTTCAGAATTCTGCAGCATTGTGATTTGTTATTGCCGTAGCCTTTCTCATCATTACAATTATCTATATTGATATTAATGGTTTCACTAACCTTATATTTGATCTTCTCCTTGTGTCATCTTATTCTTTATTGATTAGTGTATTTAATCTGTGTAATTGCAAATTTATCTGAGTGCCAGTAAGGCTTCGAAGAATCCTCCGGCATTGTTTGTCTTCACTTATTATTATTGTTCCCTTGGATTCCGAGTAGAACACAGGGTTTCAACAGCACACCTCGACCTTGTCCTATTTTCTGCGGTCCTCTTTAGCAGGCCCTGCACGACTGCCCATAGTTTCCGATCTCTTTCATGCTACTCTCGGACACCCCATTCATCTTTTCACCTTCGGGTTTCAGTCGAGTGGTGGCCTGGTACACGATGTCATTCGAAGACCTTCTCGTTTTCACTGTTCAAGATTTCTATATTTTAGTAATCAGAATGTCCATAATTATCCACAAGTAATCACATGAAAGAATGATAGTCATACCTTTTTACTGCTGGTTTGTGTTCATAGATGTGCAGAGATAACGCGGACATCCACTTTGACCTATATAGTCCTTCACGCAATCAGTTTAATTTGTTTTGTAGATGGTGTTGGTTTTATCTTCTTTTACTGTTGTGTTACCAGGTCTGTATAATATGTAGTGAAGTGACTGTACTAGTTTGTCAGAAACATCTATCCCAACTAGTATTAATATTCCAATAGCGATTCCAGATATATTTTACACATATTGTAGGTCAATTTTCCTTGTACCTTTAGAGAATGATTTTATATTGACTGGTTGGTCGGATTGACAGTAGGCATTTCATTTGATGAAATTTGTTGGATATCTAGTTTTCCAGGAGACGACTAAAAAATGCTTCCCTTCTATTTTCCGTAATGCATGTGTGCAGCAGTGTGTCCCAATGCCACTGAATGTTCGTTCTTTCGTGTACTGTTGAATTATTGCTATTAAAACTGAGTATTTGATTTGTATAGGTTGACTTACTGTACACTTGTGATTCTAATTTCTCCATACTAGTTCGCTTGATTGAGGCAGTTCACACTTGCTGAAGAATATGCCGCAGTCACAAAAGTATAAGAAATATGCAGTCATTAAGTTTTTACATTCAAAGTAGTGCAAAATAGAAGAATTAAGAATGACATCAAAGTAAGCAAAGCGAAGTAGGAAAGCACAGAGGATAAAGAAAATGAAGACTAATGATATTGTTTAAAGTTTCAACGACAGAATGAGATAGTTAAGCTTTGTAGATCAGGATGAAAATGGAAACTCATTCGTGTCCTACATGGACAATTCGCGACGAGGTATCGTGACATCATTGGTAATATCCTGTTAAGAATAAAGACATGTTTACAAGTTCAAAATAATAACTGTAGTCTTATCAGTTGGATTTGGCTATATTAAGAATATTATTTGCCTTTCTATTCAAATTAAAACTTAGTATATACGAATCTATTGCTTGATGAATTTTACTTACTCAAGGTGTGAAACAAAAATAAACAACAAATTCGCATAATGCATTAGCTTACTTTGGCTAAATTATCAGCCACAGTTTGTACTTCTTTAGACGGTGATTGAATTGTATTGAAATTCAAAAGTCCTGGAGCAATTTCTCTAATTCGACTTCGAATTTGATTTAAATTATCATAAGGTAAAGTGACACCTGTTACTTCTGAGATTGCACGGAATATCTTCCAGTCTTCTCTACCAATTCCAGGTGGAACGACAGCTAGTCGAGTTTGCTGAGCACGTCCCTCAGTGTTAGCATAAATTGAATCTTTTTCAGTGTAAGCTGAGGCAGGTAAAACAATATCAGCCATTGTTGCACCCGCGTCTCCATGATGACCTGTAAAATTGAAATAAAACAATTTAAATCATATCATTCAAGTGTTCGTTTGTAGGGATCCGATTGGTTACAGGATTTCATCATGAACTGACATCGGTTAGAGAACCAATGCAAAACCTCGGAGTATTGAACAACTATTTCGCCCGTCCTAGTTTCGGACTCTTCATTAGAGCACATCCACCGGGGTTCGAACCCAGGGTCTTCCGGTTAAAAGGTGAGCTCGTAGACCATCAAGCCACTGGGACCCGATCCAATGGCCCATGAATTCCAACTTCTGCCAATTCATGATATAGCGCGACCACTAGCCAATGTCATCGGTGAGTATTTGTCCTCAAACTCAATCTGCTGTACCCCACTGGTCATGACTTCTCACTAGAACCCAAGTAACTACCTACCAGTAGCTAGTGAGCATCATATTGATGTTGAAGTGTTGGTTTGCGAGGATTCGGAGGATAAACAGGTTTATTATATTTGCGCATAAAGAAAAATATGCTAAGTGATTAAAATAGTTGAAGAAGCATATTTTTATACTATTTCAATACAACAGAGTGCCCCAAATCTTTATCAACCTCATTCAACAACTGTATGACAATGTTACATGTCAAGTAACCTACAACGTAAACCTCAGAGAAGCCTATGAAGTGAATCCAAGAGTAAGACAAGGCTGATTACTGTCACCGATGATATTACTGACTGCAACAGATTGTGTACAGTAAGAAGACAGGAATACGTAGGACACATAAAAAGACTCTATAAGATCTGGATTTCACTGGCGATCTATGTCTAATGTCACATGAATTCGAAAACTTACAAGTGGAAACTGACAAGTTAGTAGAAGAAGCAGGTATTGAAGACGGGATTTCAAGTGGACATAGAGAAAACAAACATGACGAAGATAACTGACCAGTAACGACAAGCACCAATTACTATTACTTGGGAAGGTTTTGAAGGTCACTTCTTCCACTTATCAAGGCAGCATCGTTTCAACTACGGGCGGGCAGCAGCACAAATGAGGATGCCAAAAACAGGATCTAAAAGACATGGCAGACCTTCATCACTCTGAAATCAGTTTGGAAATCTGCTGCAATCAGCATTAAGTACTAAATTCGGATTTTCAACACTAATGTCAAATCAGTCATTCTATACCGTGCAGAGATTCGGCATGTTACAAAAAGCATTTCGAACAGACTTCAGACATTCGTCAACAGCTGCCTTCGCTTAATACTGAAGATCACATGGACAGAAAGGATTAGCAACAACGTACTCTGGTAACGAACCAACCAAGAACCTATCATCCAACAAATATATCAAAAAAAGTGGGGGTGAACTGGCCATACGCTGTAGAGACCATTGAGTGGCATTGCACTCTAGGTTCCAGAGAGGAACCTGAATAGGAAACCACGAACTGGGAGACCGTGGGTGACTTAGAGGTCTAGTGAGGAGAGGATGAGAGCCTATGGGCAATAGTTCAGTCAGCCAAAGAGGACTACAGAGAATAGGATGGAATAGTGATGTGTTGTTGAAGCCCCACGTTCCACGCGGAATCCAAGGGAATAATAATGATATTATAATAATTTCATAGTGGGAGGTATGGAAATTCAAAGAAAAAGTTCTAGTTACTGCTTTTGAAAGTTCTTGCTACTTATATATATATAACCCTTCATTAAGGAGAATTAATAAACTAACCCTCAGTTGAAAATTTTCATTCATTTCCTTTTTTCTAACCTCTATTATATTTGTTTAGGCTTTGATTATTCATTCACTTCATTCTTGGTAGTAGGCAACTTTTTAATTTTATAAGATTTCGACCTAATTTAATTATAGAAATATCTATCCAGGCAAACTGTTTTCACCGTTCTTATCTCCAAATATGCCAATCATTTAATTTATGCTATCAATAATCTTATTATTATTTTTGCTTTCTAACAACATAACTCAGTTATGATACTTAATTTTGGTTTATAAATCACTGTCATTGGTTGGCTAATGAACTTCATGAATATTTAATGTGTAGAGAAAAATAAAGGCCGGTTAGTTCGGGTTCGACTCCCAGCCGGTGCACTCTTACACGCCGCTTAGCTGGTAGCAGTCACGGAAAAGAGATAAGTCTGGGAGTGAGGTCAGAGACTCCATCTCATAAAATAAAAAACAGCACCGCTACTGAAACTTCAAAGCTCAGGCTCGCAGCTCTGTGTTCCACTAGGAAAGCTAGGCTATGAAAAAAAACTATCCATCCTGTCAGTCTGTTTCCACTGTTCTTATGCCTAACTTATGCTAACCATTTTTTATTTCTGTTATCAGTGATATTATTATTATTAGTTGTAGTATTATTATTATTATTTTTGCTACTAAATGCATAATTTATCATTTTTACCCTTTGGTTTACAAATCACTATCATTCGATAATGAACAACTTCATGCATATTTAATGTGCAGAAAGAAATAGAATCCGAAGGGGATTTGATTTTAAAAAAATAATAATAAAACAATACTTCTCGTCCAAATATTATCTTGTTCTAATTTTAGCAATCCCACAGATCATCAAGAATATGTCCAGCCCTTATATTTGAAACAATGTCTTTATTATTTCAATTAGATAGTACGCTATTTGATAATTAGGATCTGACAAAAAAAATTTAACTTAAAGGCAAAATGAAAGAACAGGGAAAAAACAACAACACAGTAATCAACTTTCTACCAAGGTATATAGTCAGAAAACTTTGTTAGTTTATGAAATTTTGAATTTCCTTGTCTGTTAACTTTACCAGACCGAAATGTTTGGTCTCTGTTAAACAAGTCAGCTCGAAGTACAAACGTTTCAATGATACCTTTAGGTTAATGTGATGCTGCTAATCATCACCCATGGAGGAGATCGTTTGGGGGAGGGGTAGGAGATGAGAGATTATGGACAATCGTCGACCCATTTGAAGGGGACAGCAGTAAATAGAACAAAGTGGGGATGTGTTGTTGAAGCTCTATGTCCCACTAAGAACTCAAGGGATTAATAGTGTAACAACAGAAGACAAGGGCCAGGCAACAGAACGTTTATTACGGAAAATCAACACATATTTATAGATTTTGATGTACATTATTGTAGGTTAATGTTAGCAGAAAATACAGTCTTTTGATTGGTTGTTTCTCACACAAAGTTAACCTTGCATCTCTTGTGGCTGTGTCAGTTCATCTATATGTTAACTGTATCCGCCTGTCCATCTTGACCTTGACCTCAATTACTGTCAACCAATTGGCTAGTAGACAGCTCTCAACACAATAGTACTACTAATATTAATAAGTTGATGGTGGAAATCAAAGATGTGTGTTTCGTCACTGTTTCTAATTCCTTCGATGTGCAAGTACCTGCGTTATCATTGAAAAGTGTTGTCTCCAGTGAAACCCAAACACAGTACTCGTGGTTTCTAACACCAAGACGTTACTCACTAGGCTAGTGAACCACGACAGCCAAATCTTGTGTAACGGCTATATCAGTTATAAATTTCCCCTTGGTCGATTTTTGTGATTCGAAATGCTCGGTCTAACATTGAGAATCCTAAATAGGACAAAAGCCTATTGTGGATTCCATTGCAAGCCAAAGATTGTGGTCAAACAGCACAGTTCCTTTACTCAATAGTGGGGAAAGAGAACAACTCCATAAAGGCATAATAGGTGCTAGGACAAAAGTCCACATAATACCTAAGTAATAACAGTGGAAAATTACTGACAATCAAAGATAAAATATCATGTCTGACAAGAGATAACGCCCAATAATCCACTAGCACACTATGAGTCACAACTACACAAACGACAGTAATGCAGAATTAGGGTCTGCATATTTCTCTTTCTGCGACAATTTAACTGAAAAGAGAGTGAAACGGGTGAACAAAACATTTAACAAGTTTATTACGTAGTTCTGTTATTCAGGCAGTAAAATAAGTGAAATAGATATAGCACACAAGCCGGTACAATTACTTCATGCGATATTGTGCAAACCAAAAGATTCAATAGAAAAAGAAGATAAAATTAATACCATTCACAAAATAAATTGTATGAGCCGCAATAAAAATCACATTGGTCAAAGTGAGCGTCCCCTTCAAATCAGAATCCAATTAGCTGTAAAAAGGCATGATGTATATTTTTCCATATCAATGTATGTAGATAATTATCGACACCGATTTGATTGGAATAATGTGGAAATTTTAAATAGAGGAAATACCAAAAATGCCACGGAATTTCTAGAAGCTTGATACTCAAGTGAATCAGCAATTAACAAACACATTAGTACAGACCAAACTTACCAGCTAATAAAAAGTAAATCCACATGACAAGAAATTTCAAATTCCAAGTCAATATAAATGATCAACAGAGAGACGCAAATCCACAATCAGTCACGACAATAGTTACCAGGAGACACAATTATATCCTTCATGGAGAATTCGAATGAGTTCATTCCATACTAAAAACCTGCGTTGAATATGTTGTCTAGAAAGACGACGAAAGCTTTGCAATTAAATCAACAAGATCAGAGAACACAACTAATTCAAAATCATCCACCTGAGCTACAAATCTTCTCCACTATTTCAAAACTTAACAACTTTTTCATTCCCTTGCGTTTGAAGTGGACCATAAGGCTTCAAGATTCAGCTTTGAAGTTTCAGTCGCGAAGTGTTTTTTGACGGGATGAGATTGCTAATCTCAGTGTCCAACCTTCACCTTTTTACCACGCTTACTACTCACTAATAAGCAAGGTTTGGAAGTGCGTCGGCTGGGAATGGGATGCAGACCACACGTGTGGTTGGCAGGCATTTTACGAGTGAACCACCAACGCACAAACCGTATGGTTTGGAGGAAATATATTACACGTTTAGTGGGAGACATTTGCATAAAATTAAAATTCCAACGATTTTTTTTTACAATTTACTCACCAATATATATTATAGTACTATCTGGTGCTAAATCTTCACGTGTAATTAAATTTCTATCAGCGCCCAAAAGTAACAGAACTTTGGGTTTGGCTTGCTTGATTAATTCATAGTTGGGTGTATAGCCTAAATCTAAAGCGGCTACTTGACTAGCACACTAAATAAGATAAAAAAACATGAAGAAAATTTACAGCACAACAACACAGCATTAGTAGAGAGAAAGTAAAAGTAGAAGAAATATCTGTCAGCTGTTTTACAGAAAGTACTATTAAACCTCTTCCTAGATGAAAATGATGATCAAAATGCTTACTAGTGTTTTAATTGTGTAACTGTTACGACGTGAAGTCATGATTTATGCATGTACTCACATGATAACCTTATTGGACAGTTTTGATTCGTTTATTTATGGCTTAATTTTCTAAGATCAGACAACCAATCATATTTACTTGATTATAGTTTAAATTTCTGAGGTTTTACAGATATAAGATACCATGTGTTTCGTCTAGTAAAGGTTGTTGTTGTCATCCTTCCGGTCGCCAATTTTTCAGTCCGATTTTGTATCTATCTCAGTGTAGGGGATATCTCCAAGTGATCAGATGGTTATGGTGTCGTGTTCTAGTCAAGGTAGACGAATCCACAACCCTGTATCACTCCATTATAACAGTGGCCTTGAGTTTTTCCTGGTGAATCTTTTGAAATCAATCTAGGCACCAATTTTTTTCAAGTTGCTCCATACAGAGAGTGTCACTAACTGGAAACAAAACGCGGTATTTTCTCAGTAATATTTGAGTTAAAAGTGTTTGTTTTTTTTACTATCGAAAAGGAATAAAGTTTACGGGTTACAGTACAAATTTGACTTTAACAAAACAACTAAGACTGGAATCGATATTTTTTTCCAAAAATCAATTGAAATGTTTGCGCTTATGTGAAGTCAAAAAACGAGAAAAAATATATGTAATTCATTAATAACTTATCTTTCATTAAATGTAATAATAAAAACCTTGATATGACTAAGAAATAAGGTTCAACAACAGTATACAGGATAGCCCGTTGGTTTCGGAAGCATACGTCCTATAAGTCTTGTCAATCTAGCTGCCCGAATCTTCTTAAGTGGAGCATAAGTCTAACGCATTACTTCAAAATTACGACTAGTGTGAACCAGGCACCACATAAATCTCAGCGCACTTGAAGATGAACCACACCTAATGTGTGACTGGTGATGAAGAGGCTACCACCTGGTTGCTAAAACTATCCATAGGTGCACCACGGGCTGAAATAGGGACTCATTGGTCGACTGTCAAAATCAGTTCATCTAAAAGCCTAGACAAAACTTCAGCAATCGCAAACCAAATGCACAAAGAGGTAAGCAGGACCGCCTTATTAAGACTGAGTGAACTTAGAGCTAAGAATATTTGACTAAATAGAACTAACGATAAACGATGTAAAAAAATACAACAAGCAATGCTGATTATTATGATAGCGACAATAAAGAAGAAAAAATTATACTTACACGATGAAGTATGTTGAATACTTGATAGTCTAATTTTTTAGACTCCTTGAGATTCGTGGCAATACGATGTACAGTATTATGAATACCTTTCGCATCTGAACGTTGTAAACATTCGCTTCCCAAAATGATTATTGGATGAGAGGCAGATTGTAAACGCTTTAACCGAAAATATTACCAAATGTAAAATAACAAAGAAAAGAAGTTGGTCAGAGTAAATATAGTAATGATAGCAGTGAGCAAAGTGAAAGTGTGATCCAATAGAAAAAAAATTAGACTATTCAAAAGAATTCAATTTGTTTGATGTTGTTTGTCTCCTGGAATTTTCAGAATCTTCAGAGACAATCAATTACAGTCAAGACCATCCATCACAAAGGATGGATACTTCATCCATGAAGATATAGCACTGAAGATGATGTCCAGATGGATAATGGAATCTTCGTCATTGAACCGTCCACCAAATACATCCATCTGACCTAAAACTTGTATTCTGTATTCATTTCAACGATACTGTCTCACTCACCCGATGGTCATCAGTAAGATACGTAAAGCATAACAAAAATGATGTACAATCAAGTGAATATGCGCTTATGAACACCAGCTTGACTGTCAAGAGAAATATCTGATTTCACATCCTTGACCAGGATAGATTTTAAACACGTCGAATATGTTTAGAATAGATTCGACGCTTAGCTTTTCATTCAAATGAATTAACAACAAATTAACATTTTGATTTATAAAAGACTGTTAGGAATAAAAATGAACGACAAGCATCAGTCTATTTTAATATCTTTATAAAAAGATTACTTCTGTGGGTGCAGACATGCAATGAGAATAAATCATAAAATCCAAGATGAAAAAATTGAATAGCCTTCATAACAGCAAAACTCATTCTCACTTTTTTTCGGTGATACAAAACAGTTAAAATTTATTTAAAAACGAATGGGTTTGCCAGTTATAAATCAGGGCAAAGAAAAAAAATTCAGCTGATTAGACTGGCACGACTATCACCGGTTTATTTAAGTAAAAACGATCGATTACGATAAAAATGACCTCAGTGTAAACCAAACACGCAAATATAATTACCAAATAACACGAGAGTCCATAATAAAACAACTAAATGAAAAACATTAATCAGTTTTCACACATGGAAGTAGAATCACTGCTTGTAACACACAATGTACTCGTTTTTGTTGTTTTTTCTTTTATTATAGCTTGATTCTACATCATATTTTTGGTACAAGTATGAAATTTTCAGCATGTGATATCGGTGGCCCAATTTCGCAGGCTGACCATTGATATCCGGGAATCGCACCTCGGACTATGTGCATGGTTGACGAGAGTCCTAACCGCTGTGCCACCGACGCACTTTATATTGCAAGTTCCTATGTTAATTGTGACTAATACGAGATTGCAACATTGGTATTCCGAAACTCTATTTTATATGACTGCACATACAAGCTGTTTTACGTGCCGATTGATCACTACACGTAGAGCAGTAGTACATACTACTGAGCACTTTAGACTCTAACTGTTTATTAAAACAGGGTTTCTTTTTCTCATCTCTTGCGTTCAGAGTAAAACAAAAGCCTTCAGGTTTAAGGCATTTGGGTCATAGTACTAATGATGCTGATTTTTATAGGATGAGTTTGCTGGCCTTACACCTAACCCACACTCTTTTCTGGACTTACCACCAGCTAGGTGAGGTTTAGGAGTGCATCAGTCGGGAATCACACTCCAGAGCACGTGAGTTGTAGCCAAGTATTCTACAGCTGAACCACTGATGCACATACTCCTTATTTTCAGTCAAATGCAATAGACCACACGTACTTGAATAAACGGGTGTACTTCAATGACTATTGGTTCGAGTCTAACCAACACACGATATTTGGACATGGTTGCATTCCCTGAGCTAGGCGATTTAATCACTTTCACTACAATCAAAATGTCTGTCTGTCTGGTTCCAACATAGAACTTTGCACCGATGTGCAGCAGTTCAAGTCGCCACACTTCACTGAGCACACAAAGCAAGAGAAGAAAGTAAAAAGAAACGCAAAATATAGACAGTAAACAGAGATATGAGGCAAAAAGAATAGTAATATGGAAGAACAATACAATTTCATTGGAAATTTTAAGTCACAAGGAGTGGATACATCTGTGCCATTGAGAACGATTTTGAGCTATATCACCGATTGTCTCCAGCCATTGATGTTTACCGTCCCGAGGACACCAACCAGGAAGTCTACGCCTTCCTACGCGACTGACTGGCTTAAACTAACTTTTGTGGATTTCATTGACTGATGAAGTCATGTTTCGGTTTGACCGCGGCTGGTTCTTTTCCAACCTGATCCATACTATGTCAGTTATCTGAGATTGCCCGTCGAGGAAGGCGATGGCTAGACGTGCATGCGTTACACACGTCCTAACCATCTCTCAGTCGATGTAACTTCACAGCCTCGTCGATTGATTTCCCCTCTTTACCTAGCACTCGACGTCTAACCTCAATATTGCTCACTCTATCTTACTATTTCACACGGGAAATAGAACGCAGGTACCTATGATCAAAGACAGCTAGCCGGGCTTTTCATGTCTTCCACTCGTAATGGTCAGGTCTCACAGCCATAAAGGAGGACGGAGCAGACTGCAGAGCAGTACACACGCCCTTTGCTCGATAGCCAGATATCAAAATATAAGTCTATGAAGATTTTATTGAAAAACAGTAAAACTGGTATTATAATTAAACAGTATTTACCTTATTCAGTGGATGCTTTCCAGAAGCTATTAATTGTAGAGCATCGAGTTGATCACCAAGATGCTGAAATATTGAAAAAAAAATTAAGAAATACAACACACCACGCTTAGATTCTTTTTATAATCCTAAAAATTTCCTTTATTATATTTGAAATGAAACAATTTCCTACCAAAAACCTATTTATTATTTACTTTGACCATCATTTGCAAATACTAATCTGCATGTTACAACGTCTTTTATCTACATAATGATCAAACGATAAGACGGGTGAACGGTACAACTTTACGTTTTAAAATATTTAAGATATTCAGCCTATCCAAATGCATAATACAGTCTTTTAGAATTATTTTCATTTATTACAAAATAGAACAATAAACTGTTTGGTTACATGTCCTAACATAACTGGGAAAATGAATTCACCGTCAACCACTTGTACATCAATATTTATTAATCCTGGCACAGCCTTATTCTTTCTAAGAAGAGTTCCAGCATGAGATTAATAAAATGAGGAGTAGTGCGGATTTTTAAATTCTGAAAGATCATGAGGCTAGTGTGAATGAATTTGAACCACGTCACAATAAATCTCTAACTCATGGCTCTTGTCAATCCGAAGACAACAAGCCAAGTAATCTATACGTCCCCATCCACTTCAAACTTTTACGGATTAGTACAATGTTTTAGTCGCGTCACTTAGAGTTGGTTTTTAACCTAATTCTACTTCTCATGAAATAAATTCATTGAGGAGACCAGTAGACAGATATGTGTGACGCACATTACAGACACGTCGATCGAATTACCTAATCTTAACCTACTATAATATTCTGCGTAATGTGAGTAACCTTTTTGTATCTTCTACTTTAAAGGAACTTGCCACACAGCTATGAAACTGTACAAAGTCAATTGCTAAGCAGTAGGCAATGTTTTGATAGCTAGTCTGAAAGTGACACAAGTTGGTAGATGTCAAATAACTCTTTTTGTATTCGTGACATTTTTTCAATCCTATTCTGCCGCTTTCTTATAAACTTATTTTATCAACAATTTACACCAGTCCCATGAAACTGTTTTGGATTAAGAAAGCTAAAACCTCACTCAATAATTCATCACTACCATTCTCAAACACTACGAAAGTCTAAATCATCAAGTCTTTTTTTACCATGTTTTGAATTAAAAGGAGCTACCACAACCTTGGTTACAGTTGGATAACCGATGTCTACATCCCATTCAGGCAGGGGTCGTAAGGTAATCAACTTAAGTGAAGCCGTAAGTAAGCTGGATTGTTTCTCAGTGTTCTTCCTAACGTTTTAAGCTACATCTATCTCCTGAAAGTTATCAAAGTTTTATTATTTTGAAGATCACTTCACTCACTAGAGGAATTTTAGAAAGAATTAACCAGCATTGATGCCTTTTCTAAACCTTTCTTTTACGAGATCCATTACTATTCGCATTTTTTGAAGAAACTTTCAGTCATTTTACGCGAAATCAGCTTTCGTTCCTGCATTAAATACTTCAGAATAGGCTAAAGAAATACTCTAACTTTTCCTATCGTTTGGTTGCGCTTTGCCACTTATTATTGCCTCTGCTATTACAGCAGAATTGAATATGATAAGATGCTTTCTTAGGATAATCATCATCGTCTTCAGATGCATGTTTGATTAATTCACTAAATAGAATTACGATATCGTCATTGAAAAACAAGGTCTTTACATACATTCATTCACTGGCATAGTATATGCACTGATTAGTGCACTATCAGACTACATACACATATTCCAGAAGGAGTGGCAATCGTTTACCGACCATCAAAATTGACAATTTATTGCAAAGTGATACAGCTGCGTTCATTTGCTATTGACAGATCGCAAGTGAGACAATGTCTCTCCTCAAGTTCGAAATTAAAAACATATAGTGATAGGGACAGAATGGTAAATTTGTCGGTTCGGGACCACATAGATAAACCTGATACGATTTTCCGACTAGCTTAGCTCCCCTACTGATATGATGAATATACCTGAGCGTTTAGTTTTGAGCAGCAAAATATACAGCTGTTTGATTAAATTCATCTTTTACTCTGTCCAAAATGAAGTTGACTGTCCTGTGAGCCACAAAATTAGGAAAAGGTGTCGACAAGTAACCAGATCAATCCAATATTTCTAAAGTTGAACTAACAAAAATATAAGATTTCAATTTGAAATTTTATGGTACCGGATACACATCTTATTACTTGACAGACAATGCGACTGAGATAGAGTTCAGGGTAATATGTGATTGCTTTAAGTACAGTACCGTTCAAACTTACAACTCATCGGATATAAAAATACCAAATTTTTCGACATAAAATGTACTTTCTCAATAGTTGGTTTCTAAGGATTAGATTTCTTTTGACGAGTTGATCAACGATAGATATCAGTTAGAGAACCATTGAAAACCAGGGAGTACTGGACAGCTATTCCACCCTAGTTTGGGAATCATCAGCAGCATGCACCCACTGGGATTCGAACCCAGGACCTTCTAGTTACAAGTCAAACTAGCTTGTATTGATGCTCGCTAGTGACTTGCTACAGGACGGAGTTTCCTGGAGTTCTAGTAAGAAGTCGTGACCAGTGAAGTCCATCCAGTCAAGTGTAAGGATGGATGTCCCGCCGATGACATGGGTTGGTGATCACGCTAAACCACGAATTGGTGGAAGTTAGAATTCATGGGCTATTCAATCGGGTCCCGGTGGCTTAATAGTATACGAGCTTGCCTTGTAACCGGAAGGTCCTGGGTTTAAACCCCAGTGGGTGCGCACCGATGAAGAGTGCCAAACTAAGACAAAACAGCTGCCCAGTATTCCCTGGTTTTCAGTGGTTCCCTAACTGATATCAATCCGTGATCAACTCGAATTCAAATGTCACTAGACGGCTGAATATCACAAACTGTTGTCTCAGAAATACACATACTTAAAACAAGTTTACGTGAAGACGTAGACTTCTCTAAAGTACTTTATAAATTCTCACTTTTGGCAGATAATCTATTAAAATTTCCGCTGGAAAACATAAAACAATTAAATAATAGTATGTGAAATAATTATACATGTCATATTATAAGCTCTTACTTCATAATCGTAAGTTAAATCAACTTTTGGTCCTAATAATACAATTTCCAAATCGTTATGCACCCAACATTTGCGTAAACGTGCATTAAGCAAAGGTGCTTCAAAACGTGGATTAGTACCAATAAGTATAACAAGATCAGCTTCCTCAATACCAGCAATATGACTATTGAATATGTAATTAGTACGCAGATCCACACTATGAAGGCAAACAAAAATAATTTACATATGGAAAATAAATGCATTGTGACCAAACACCACTGAGTTATTGTTCTGCTGAAAAACAAAATTAAATCATGACTTAAACATGCATCTTAAAGTGAAAGTCACTGCAAAAAGTGCGAAGATAGATAATGAGGTGTGTATTTTAAATAAACCCATGTTAGATACCACCTTTCAGTATGACAATGGTTGTACAGCAGAATAAAGATGCATCTCTACGGTACAATCGAAGTCCTGAAACAAATGTAAGTTTAACTATTTAGAGGGAAGAATGTCGATACATAATGGGACACTTGTAGCTCATTGGCTTACGCAGTCAACTTTCAGTTAATTGGATCCAGTGTTCGAATCCCGCCCTACATACTTCAGCCTGAGCAACTGAGCAGTACTATCACAATTCATACAACCAATGTGGTACATAACGCGGTACATGTGGAATTTGTTCCGAACAACTGTGTTTGAACAACTCATCAGTAGTAAAACGAGTGGTAAGATAAGTAACAAAACGACTGCTAGCTAATTATTCCAGAACATCATCATCTCCATCCTATGGAATCTATTACACTGAAGAATTCTGGACTTTCTTTTCAAAAGAAGCACATTCAGAATCAAAGTCTGTCCTGGTTAGGTTTTTACTCATGGCTTGTTTTATTCAAATTTATGTTTTAATTATAAAATAGTTACCAGCAATCATTATATTGCTTTGTAAGTTGTCCTCTCCACTCAGTAAATATTTCACATATAATTCTGACACACGTGCTCCACGAAAACGTCAGTCAGATCTCACATTAGGGTCACAATATTCCTGTCTATGAATAGTTAGACTTACAGTTATTTGAGGATTTCCCTAGTAGCCTACAGATGTGCTTACTTTACTGTACAAAACTTGTCCCATCCAAACGTTTATCGGATAAAAATGTTATTTATTTTGGATCAGTCATCATGGAATACTGAAGTCTATCACTAATTGCAAGGAAATGCAAGCGACTATCCAGTGATAAATACTCAAGAAAGACTACGGGTGGCATGCAAAGAAAATCTAATCAATAAGACGACTTTCTCTGCATTCTGTCAAATTCAATATTAGTTAAAGATCACTACATAGTAAACTGAAAGCAATACATAAATGTTCAGAGAAAGAGAACCTTGAAGACTGAGACTTTTATGATGATAACAGCATTTAGACTAACACACCTATTAGGAGAAACTTCACTAATCAAGAAAGATTACAAAACTGTTTAAGGAAAGTCATTTAACTGACAGAATTCAGTTAAGCAAATTTGACATGTGACATTTAAATCAAAGCAATTATATGAGATTAAATAATACTTAACAAAAATAAAATCGGTATACGTTAGAATCTTATAATCTAGGCCCGTCTCACAATATCTTATAGTTACTCTTGTTCCTTCCCAAAAAACCGATTACATTACACCCATAATTATAGCAATCAAATATACCTCAACTTTGTGGATATATATATATACAGCTCATGGAAAAGGAAACCAAAAGTGGTCTAAAGTTGCTATTTTGAGCATCAACCAACCACGTACTGACAATATACACCACACCAAAAATATGCCTGCAAAATAATACTGTGCAAAAGGTTCTTAGTTAAATGTTGTTATGAATTATTTGAAATAGTTTGATAAAAATATAACTGATGCTGAGATTCTCTGAGAAAGTTTTGAGTCGGCAGGCTAATGGGGATGTGGTGGGTGAAAAAGGTTAAATGAAAACCAGTTCTAGACCTGGCTAGAGTTTGCGTCGTGTAGTTCGTCGGAACAGGACCATGATAACAGTCTGTAAGTCAGAGTTTCGAGTCTTGTTGAGAGACAGTTCTCTATTCTACCTTTACTAATCATGCATTAAATCAAAGATATCACATGTAGTTATTATTTTCCTTCTGATCTGTTTCTAACTTTTATTTCATGTCTCGAAAGTACGAATACAAATTTTCTCCGGCTAAGAGAGCAAAGGAATCAAAACACCACTGAAATTTATTATTCCAGAAGTCCTACAGCCTTTAGTGTGAACTGTTGAGGAATGAAACAAGGTAATAATTAGAATTATCATTTGCACATACGGAGAAAAAATCAGTTAACGTTAATATGTCAAAGGATGAAATGTTTCTTATTTTAACAAATGAAAATTTTCAAGCTTGTAGGGGGTTGATTGGCTGTAAGTTTTATCACTGAGAGAACTACTGAAAACCAGCTGTTCCATCCTACTTTGGGACTCTTCAACAGTAAGCCCCCATGACGCCAGTGGGGATCGAACCTACCACTTTCAGGTTAAGATGCGAGCCTGTCGAATATCCGACCACTGTGAGGGAATCCAATGGTTCATGGGCCTATGTCTTAATTCCCGGTGAGATCATGGCTGCGAACCGCTGACGAATTTCCGAATAAGACGAAACGGCTGGTTTCCAATAGTCATCTAACTGATATCAATCCATGATTAAATCTGAAATCAGAATTTATGAACAGATCTAAGTAATAATAAAAGGCTATAAAATCGCTAAAGGCAAGGTATTATGCACACATATTAAATACAAACAGATTAGTGTGACAGAGAGTAAGGTACACATATCAACACTTGGTAAGTGTTGAGTGCAAAACAACTTCAAGATAAAGGCTGAAAACTTACCTGTCAGTTGGAAAACTTTCTTCAGTACATACCAACTCTGAATTGAATCGATTAATTAAGTCCTTCATAGCTGTCATTGATTCTGCATCTGCAAATGGACCGACTAATCCAGCTATTTGATTTTCTTTACATGTTGTTTCTTTAGACGACTCGTAAATGGGAAGTAATTTTTTCGCAGTTTCAATTAATCCCTCTTCCCATGTACTTTCAACTAATTTACCAGACTTTTTCACCATTGGAACAACTAAACGTTGTCGACTTAAACCATCATATGCAAATCTAGATTTGTCGGCTAGCCATTCTTCATTCACATCCTGGATAAGATTTTTTTAGAAAGATGGGAAAGAGATTTGTATCAATGCTTTTTATAACACTAGTATGTTGCTTAGTAAAATACAAACAGATATCAGCAAAAAAACAAGAGATGAATGCTTAACGTAAACGATTTAATAGTGAAATCTGCAAGACAAAGGCATCACAAAATATTCATAAATAAAATTCACAACTAGCAAACTAATTTGCAATTTACACAGTTCAGGGTGAAATTCCACCCTAATTTCCTTTGGAAACGGAAGTTATTCAAACCACAATATTTGATTTGCTTCGTACTATAAATATCAATTAAAAACCAAGTATATTTGCATGAAATAATATACTACTGATTGGTTGAGATAAATACTTGTCTACCATTTACATCAACCACTAGTGTTTCCCAGCCAGATCAAAAGGATCAAAACCGGATGGTTTGAATGGATTAGGCTTTTTCAGATGAGTCACAACCGGGTACAACGCTGATGAGTGCGGCCCTAAACGAGTGAAAAAAGGCCGTTCTGTGTTTGGCTCATCTTCATTGAGTTAACACAAACGCTACTGGTAGATGTTAATGTTATACTACTGCTAATCAGCTCAATCGATCAGTAGTATGTGGTTTTACCACAATAATCGACAAAGTCCGCTTTACTACATATTGTGACCAGAAACTGTTAACCTACAAATCATCACAATTCAGTGATTACGTATTTTAATTATAACTTCTGCTTTAATCTTCAATTGTGTGATTTTTTCAATGATTACCCTGAAACTTTCATTAATCAAGACCGCCTACTCATAAGTAAGCACAGAAAGTAATGCATAAAATTAAATACAAATAATAGTAGAATATTATTGATTTCCTTTTGGTTAAATAACTTTCTACTATTTCTGATGACTATATTTTCACTTCTTCACTGCTACTTTGATGTACTGTGGTAACCTCAACTGGCATGTGATTATTCCAGATGTTATGCTCAAATTTTTCAAAGTCTGGGTGAAAATGCTATGTACTTCTGAGGATGAATTGTTCATGCACAAGTGCTCATTTTGCTTGAATGTGTTCAAATGAAATTTATCCTTTTACTCTCTACTAACCATGGCACGTATATAATATTGAATGACTTTATTAACGAAAATGGAAACGTGATTAGCGAACGATTGTAGACGTCGCTTGTTAAACAAACAATTATTATCAAAACTTGATATTATACATTTAACAAAGAATTCTTGAGTCAATTCCATTTACTCAATGAAAAGTCTTGCATCACTTACAAACCTGGCTACTGTAAGTTTTAATGCGTCGCTAACATGGGCTAGGTGACTGTTTTGCCCACAGTGTCCTTCTGAAGACAAGAGGTTCCTTTTTTAACAACTTAATGATTTGTTTTCTATCATGAGACTCCTTAAATTACTCACAATAAGAAAAAGCCCAAAGTCATTGACAACAATGAAAGCCTCAATTGCCCACACAGTTTCAAAAACCTTGAAATTTTTGCTTACGAAAGAGTATGACGGAAATACACCTTCCCATTTGGGAAGGTGTATGGTGAATGGTGACTAACAGTCGGATTAAGATGAGCACTCCGTCCCATTTGGAACTCATCAGCCGCATGTACCTGCGATCCCCAGTGAGTGCTATTTTTCCCAATGGGACTCGAACCCAGTTCCCATTCTCTCAAACGCCAAAGCTACGACAAGCACCTTTTGTGCAGTGAATATCGGTTATTTGCTGATGTCAATTTTGTTTTTACCAGTGAATTGATTGCACCCAAGTGTTCGGCCTCTATAACCTAAAGCTAATATCCTGACCATCGACAAAAAAGTGCGTTGGTGGCTCAGTGGTAGAACGCTCGCCAACCAAACACGTGGTTCGAGGTTCGACCCTCGGCCAACCCACTCCTATACCTCGCTAAGCTGGTAGTAAGGCCAGCAAAGAGGGAAGAGGTTGGACGTGAGGCTAGCAACCCCATCCCATATAAATGAAACCTCTGCTACCGAAACTTCAAAACTCTAGTTTGAAGCCCAATGTCCTATTCGGAACTTAAAGGAATAAAGTAAAATAATCTACAAGATAGCTCAAATTTCAGGAAGAAATATGTGAGTGACAAGAACCATGTACAAACTGACTCATAAATATCATCCCCAGTATTCGTAGTGTCAAACATAGAACTGAAAAACGGATATAGTCATGCAGCTCTGAGGGAATGTGTTAAATTTTATGCTACATAGAAGTGAGTAAAACAGAAACGGACAGAAAACAAACATTAAATTATCACACAAACTGAGACTTTATTCGCTCCTAAAGAGTTAGGAACCAATGTTCCCATAACTAAGACTACAAACATTTGCACTAGGTGTATTATACGAAAATATCATAAGGTAACTTTAAGGGAACAGCAACTAACTTCATTCAATCTTGGAATTATCCTTAAAACTTGATTTGTACGCATAGAGACCACAATATTTGCACCAATCGCATCCATAACATCAATTGACTCAATACGTCTTGTCTCCCATGGTCGTGCGGTAAATGCATAAGGTTTAGACGTCAAAGCACCAACAGGACATAGGTCAATGACATTACCGGACAATTCACTAAAGAAAGGCTTGTCAATATATGTACCAATCTGGAGAGAGCTTCCACGACCAGTAGTGCCAAGATCTGGTACACCGGCTACTTCATTAGCGAATCTATCAACAAATAAAAGGCAGGGATTACAGAAGAAGCACAAGTTTAAAAGCATTAGAAAAGAAATAACGCCTTTTTTATTTTAAAGATTACATATGGATTTTTATGAATTACATATATTGAAAGTCCTAATGCAATTAATCTCCGTCTTAGTGACTGAATGGCCTTCAGTTCTCGTGTTGTGGAGTTAAACAGGGACACATCTATAAGAAGTCATGTTCTGTTTGAACTTTCAACTGATGAATGCCTACAATTCGAGGAATACATTTATCTTGTTATTGAAAAACAGTCGCAGTCTTCTGATCTCAAACATTATAACAGATTTTACCAGTGATGAATAAACTATCACACCATCCTTAATAGGAAACTGAATACAGTAGCGTGTTTCATATGATGAATGAAAATAATCAGAGACCCCTATATACAATGACTAAAATAATTAAACAGTATTCCAGCAGCAGTATAATCTTTACACTTACCTGTGAAATAAGCTAAACTGTAGCATTGGTTAATAAGACACAAGCAGATGAAAATTAGTGTTGATATCCAATTATACTGTGCAGAACCATTAAGACATTAGGATAAGTGACAAGACGCTGCTATTCCCTATGGCGTTCAACGTCTTTATTTCGGTGTTCAATTTTGAGAGTCAAACAGTCTAGCAAAAAACTAATCTGAAGTTTATCCTCTAAGGTATGGACTAAATTCATCGTATAAGTATTGTGATAATACCGTTATCCGACTGCCCAAAACGTAATAGCTGCTGGAAAATCCAACTTTAAGCATCAGCAGTTAGCAGTGTTGTCTAAATAATTCAGCTTCAAGATATTTCTGATCAAATTACCTCAGTTACTCGGAACAGACATTTAATGTGTCAGACTATGATTCACCTTCATTGTGTAAGGACTGGTTGCCCAGGCTAAAGTAGGTAAGGTGGGAGCCAGCGGTCGAAAGTCAAGTGTTTAACCTAATGGACGCATCGGCTACATAAAAGTGCACAAAACAAACAGTTAACTGTGAAATCTAGTGATTTTGAATTCTACAGTAACAGTGGAATTTAAGTTGAAAAATACTATCGATTTCATAGAAGTTACCTTACACATCTTGTACAGTGTATGCAACGAGTCATTATTGTTTTAATCAAAGGGCCAAGATTTTTATCTTCTACAGCACTGAAGAAAAGGAATAAAAACAAGAAGTATGTATAAACACATTGATAAGAGTGACAATGATAAAGAAATTCGTTCTATATAACGTATCGCGTTATCATGTCTTAAAAATGAAATTAAACACCATATCGGAAAGTACGAATTATACCACATTTTCGTGAATAATATTTTCACTCAATCACAGTAAGCATATTTACTAAATGAATAATGCTCTTCAGTAATAACTTATTGAAACTCTTATCCGTTGTAGAGGGAGTGGCTCATGTGGCTCAAGTAACCTAGTGGATAACGATTTGGTGTTTGTATTGATGGGTGCCAGATTCGAGTCTCAGTGGGAAGCAGCTACACCCAGCTAACAAACAAGTCTCAAACAAGATGAAACGTACGTCCAATATACAAATAGTATCCACCACCAAACAAGTAATTTTAAGTTAGGAATCAAACTAATATCGAAATATCGGTTCAAGAAGACCGTGTGCAGAAATGAGACGGACCGATTCCGTTTAGAAAAGACAACGGGGAATCACAAGTACAAAACATTGCTACGATTATTCTTCATGGCCGCTGCAGATGCAGAGTCAATCACTTTGTGTTACTGAAACTCGATTATCCATTAAGACTGACGTTACAGAACGTTAAGATCAACTGGTCTCAGAATTATTTGCAAGACTCGATAACAGAATGTAAAATTTGAAGTCAAATGAATTGAAAATAGTTCTAAGGAGTACGTTATACCATTTTTAAACACTAAAAATCTCTATTTATTATATTAGATATGTCTCTGTTAATTGATGACATCAAGTTTGTGTAAGAACTATTGCGTTCGCATCAACACCAAAGGGTAGTGGAACTCTTTATTATTATTTTGTAAGCGCAATGAGTCAGATCACAACTTAAAATGACTGTTTCAAAGCTTCTAAATTAATTTATAAGCAGAAGATTTACAGGGATTAAAATGGAATAGTGAAAATTCATCTCATTTTTATCATCTTCCGTTCTACGAAATCAGCAGGATTAGTCCTTATATAAAGAAGTTACCAAATAATTCCTAAAACACTCTTATTTAGTTATAACTTCCATACTGTTGCTATAAGGAGGTAAATCGTATAATGTGATTGTAGCATAGGTCGTTAAATAATATCAATTCCAACTAGAAACGATTTTAAAACTAAACAAACGATCCCTCTTACAAGTTTACTAAAGTGAATTATACTTCAATCGATTCTTAAGTTCGAAAAGAAAACAAGCGATAAAACTTAAATTTCAACGAAAATTCGTACAGAAAAACTTACCGTTTCCCAGTGAACCGATTATCAACAAACCGAGAGCGATCTGATCCGAAATTCATTGACTGATCCTTATGACAAAAATAAAAGGAAATATTTAAGTGTAGAACTTGGGTACTGTGGTAGAATGTAATTCCATATAAGATACGTTTATTTTTAAATATCATACAGCGATGCAGTATTAGCAACTGGATTCTATAAACGTCATCCGGTTGTTAATACTGCATCGCTGTGTTATGTTCAAAAACTTAAATTTTTCTAATTTGAAAAAGAAATATGATATGCAACTGATCAACGCTATCTGCAATATAAACACATCAGCGACAAATGACGTTCAAACTTAAGTCCCAATGCAGTTGTCCAATCTGTAAATTGCTAATACAAAAAAGAAGTCACTCAATATGATCTTCACTGTTTGCCATTTAATAGCTTTTCACCTTTTCATTCAGAGAAACAGCTTATAAACATACACCTTTCAGTCACTGAGTCATAAGTTCGGATCCCGCTCCACCAAGTAAGACTTGCAAAGCTAGGTTATATAACTAGTCTTTACACAATAAACGTGGCGCATAGAGAAATGCATTAACAGTTGGTTATGATTGGAAGCAGAAACTACCAGGTTAACAAACAGTTAATCTCTCCAATAGCGACTGAACGCATCAAAACCATATTCATGAGCTAAATCCAAGATTTCAACGTTTAAAATTACCGCAAATAATTACGTGTTTCTACAGTTTAATCCACGAAGAGAGAGAAATATTTTGATATCGCTGTGAAAAATTCTTTTGTCAGATGGTCAAACCTATGAATTTAGAATCGCCTACTTCTCGGTAATCAACAAAACGGTAAAAGGAAATTGCTTCTCACGATCATTAGTTGTTAAGTACAGTCCAATGAATGAAGCTGTGGTTTATTGGTTTAGACAGTTAGTTGACTTCCAAACAACAGAAGTTGCAGAAATAAACGTCAATCCATCTCCTAAGCTTTGTATAATCATTTAACATTATTAGTTCTTGTGTATCATGAAAATACGGTTTACAGAATGATGAATCAGGAGTAGAAACGATCAACTGAAAAGACAATTAAACGAAGACTGAGTGTTCAGAATAAATAGGCGAAGATTAATGAAGGATTTCAGGGTTTGGATAGTGACAGGAGAAGAATACGCCCACGCTACTGTGCACGATTTTTAAGTATTTCACCATCCGTCTCCAACTGTTGGCTTTTAGTCTCCTCACAACACAATCCAAGCAGTCTACAATCCTCGACGTAGTTCGAAACAACAGTCAATTACTTTATGGACTGGTGCTACATTTCGCTCTTGTTTTATTCCTTGCGATCCCAGTGGAAAATAGGGCTTCAAGCCCTTGAAATTTCAGTAGCAGTAGTGTTTTTTCCACAACGTGGGTTCGTTAGCCACATTCCTGACCTTCCCCCTTTTCTGATCTTACTATCGACTAGTAAACTGGAAGACGTTCAGTAGCGCTTTGAACGGAAATCGTACTCGTACCATGTGCATCTCAATGTGCCAAGAATCAGTTTCTTGAATTAGCACCACTACACAAATTTGTAGAATTTATCCAATTATCAAAATCGATTTGAGTAAACAAGCACACTTTAAACGTTTCTAGTGTTGGTGTTCTCTGGTTCAGATGACGAAGCAACACCACAGCTAAAATATTTTCTACATAGTTCCGAAAATACTTCAGAAAGTTTAAACGACTTTCACCACTAGTTTTAAGACAGAATCCGTCATCTCACATACTTGATCAGAGGTCACACTATAAATTATATAACTCAAAAACCTCAGATTGCTTAGCACATTATTAGTCGTTAATAACTACGCAATGTATTAACGGGAAGTCAGGCTAAAATGTTTTAGTTTATTTCTGAGTCTGGTTTTACTATCAATTTATTCGGTGTTTCAAAAACACTTTGACCAATTAAAAAGTGTCAATTTAAATAAGCAAGAGTAAACTGAAATACAAATTAACTTGCAGTATGTATAACAGTAAATGTACCTGTAAATCACACTCCCCACCCTGATCACAAATAGGACAATCCAAGGGGTGATTGACCAGTAGAAATTCCATAACACCTTCACGTGCTTTGCGAGTTACTTCTGAGTCTGTTTTGATGCTCATGCCACGCATTACCGGCATTGCACAACTCGCAACAGGTTTCAGAGATTTTTCTACCTCAACCAAACACATACGACAATTTCCAGCAATTGACAAACGTTCATGGTAGCAAAACCTTATAATAATAATTAGAAGAAAGAAGGCTATTTAATTTTTAGTGAATACAGCCAAATGAGTTCAATACAGACTTGAAAACCTCTAGATTTTACAAAACTAGAAATATTAATATTTTGCTAGCTAAGCTTAGCTTTAACTTACTTATAAGAGGAAAACAGTAGCAGCTGGAATAACATTTACTTTTGTGATTGTAACTCTGAGCTGGATGTACAGATCGAACATAAACAGTACCATGCCATGTGACAAATACTCCTCAATCCCATTAGCATATGTAAGTCAAGGAAAACACTTGATTCTTCTTCTTTTGGAATCATGTTTGTTTTCCCTAAATGATCTTTAAGTGGAAAGTTTATTATATATTTCACAGCATACAAAATCTGACCAGGAAAGTAATTGCAACAAATTACTTAAGCCTAACAGGTGGCAGTAAATTCAAACTGTGAAATAACAATGATAATATACAATTAATAGCCAATAGTGACTACCACAATTTTTAATACTGTGATCAATAGCATTCTTTACACATTTGAAACTGGGACAAAAAGGACATGCTAACTTCCTATGACATTCCTGTAACAAATGAGATAAAATCCTTGAGACGAGAATGAGTGGATGAAGAATAGTCAAGGACGTGCTAAGTGTAGCATACTTTCATTCACTTTGTACTTATGTAATTTGATTTTCTATTATTATTCTAATTTCCGAGTCCATCACTACTTGTCAAGATAGATGTAGTCATGTAGTCTTTATGCATTTTGGTCACGTTGTACAGATATACCCTTACTAAGAAATATCTCCAATAAGATGAACTTATGACCTTTAGTCTTCTTAAGCTACTAAAATTTTGCATTTGATCACCTTGACTTTATAGTGAAAAGATTAACTCCAGTAAGATACACTAATTATGATGCGCGAACAAAATTCGTGTTCACCTACCGAGGTATTTGTACACCAGCTAGAGCACATGCCTGTAAAATAGTCATACCAGGTTCGCATAAAACAGGTTTGCCATCCACTAACACTTCGATCTGTTGAGAAGTTGGAGGTGATGGGGGTGGGGGTGGTGCTGAGCTTTTAGTAGTAGTTGTACTCGATGTAGTCCCAGATACTCCAGCTGCTGCTGCCTTAATAGGAGGGTTTCGAAATGACGATGATTGCCTACACAATGCTTTAAAAGAAAAATGAAGCAGAAACAGAGGATGTGATTATGAGTTGTAAGAATGTTTCGAGACTAGAATAAAAAGCACTGGGTGGATTAGACAATGAGAAAATAACAATGTACGACGTAGTATTACGGCAAATTGGTCCATGTTGCTATACTTAATACCTGGATATCACGCAGAATGAAACAACTCAATGTTACTCAGTAACTAATTGCAATTCCATACAAACGGCAATGAATCACACGCTAACTCATTGTGTGAGAGCTAATCATACTGTTCGGAGCTGCCCAAACCTAGGCGCGTAGAGCGGGATTAGAACTCATGGCCTCCCGGTTGGCAGTCGAGAGTCTAGACCAATGAGCTACAGGTGCAAAGATATAAAGGAAAGAGAGTAGGAAAGAAGACAAAGGAAAAGTTATACAACAAAGGGCAATACAGTGCTGCGATAAGGAACAAAGTAAACAAATCACCAGTAATAACACATGGGATGAATTCATCTACATCTACAGGCTTATCCACCTAGAGGCTCTAACTGTGAATCCCTGTGATCATATGGACACCAGCCATTAAACCTCCGTGTCCCTATGCGATGTAATTCAACATTTACCTACTTCATGGACTGGCATGATGTCTGTTTGACGATCCTTCGCTTTCTCCACCTTAGATTTATTTTCGATAGTGGAATCTCAAAACAAATGTTGAGCGTAACATTTGTTTCAGTCACCTCGTGAGATCGAGGCTTATCTAAACTACATTACTTATACAGTGGTTCTATAGAGTGCCGGCGATGTTGTGAAGGCAAAATACTCGAACGAACTTCAACAGGTATACTTCTCGGCCACAGAGTAAAATAGAATACTGCCGCAAAGTGGCCGGTCCTTCGAAGCCAAATTGGTATTTTGCCTGCATCATAATCTGGTTATGTGGCTCATTGACGCTGAGATTCAGGTAGTGGGTCCTGGGGTCAAATTCCACTATACGCACTTAAGCCTAAGAGCAGCCGTCACACTATATGTAGTTCATAGCCCGTTACACGAAAAAATTCTGTTTTGGTTGGCTGGGTCCCAACCAGCTAAATATGTAAATCCTCACAAACTAATAAACAAACAAAACTAATTGAATAAATTCACTAATTCAAAAAATAAATTAACTGAATTGAATTTCAAGAGATTAGATTAAATAAATAAACTAATTAAATAATTATGTGATTATGATTCTGAACAATAAATTGTATTCCAAACGTCATCCGGCAAATAATACTGTTTCACAGTATGACATCCAATGAACAAATTAATACGGACTTACTACTCCAGAAGCCAAGTTTTATACGTGTATTAGTCGAGCGGCAAATATGATAAATTACTTCGCTCTGTTTCTAAACTATAAGTCGGTAGAGACAAGCCGTGAAGTACCGATTCATATTCATTTGACAGATAAGAATAGGTTTCGTCAATATTTTCGAAAGACGTGATAAGATCATCTGGATCATGCAAGTTGGTTATAGGATCCACAATTATGTGTGCCGTTAATTACACTTTTTCCAGTGTTTTACGAGTCACCGTGAATTATTGTTATTACCACTGTTGCGTTTATTATACCACTCCTCTTAGAAGGAAATCTACAGATACGTAAGTCTTAAAACCTACTCAGTCGTTCTGTCTTACGACTCATCTTCCGTGACAAGGTGATTTTCTGAAAGGCTGGTGAAACTCTACCAATTCCAAAAAGACAATGGAATGTCTGAAGTAAATATCCTTTTATCTTAATAATATAGTGAAAATGATCCAAAGTGCTTGGGGAAGAACCAATTTTATGATCGGTAGGGCGACAGAGTGTCAGTTCTCTGTCCCAACGGCACCCAATTATCATCTGAATACCGTTGTCAAACACTTTCTTTTTTCTCATTTGACCATATCATGCTACTAACAATGCCATTTTTCCTAGCGCTTTTACCTTTTCTACTAAAGGGACAAATGGGTGACCAAGGAGTCTTGAATAGGAGTCCTGCTATAGTCCGCAAAACACAAAAAGAAACAAGGTGATACTACAGTAGGCAGATCAGTGTGAAGAGAGGAAATAATTACATCTGCAAACTTTTGTCACAATAAGGGATTACGACTTCAAGGATAGGTCACTACGAGTTTCCAACAACTACATCAGAAAACCTGCAGTTAACAGAGTGATTCCCACTGAACGCAACAGTCGAATTTGTTCGAACAGCCTAAGTCTTCTAGTAAACTGGTAGTTCAGAATTCGAAGCAGATATTCTGAAAGTGCCTTAAATAATGCTACTTATTAAATAACAGGCGTAATTTACGAATTCATACAGATATTTTGTTGCGAGTCATTCTATTAGGGCTGACGTATATATATATATATATATACCTTACTTATCTCTAAGCCAGAATATGGATCAAACCAATCTACCAAGATTCTCTCACTTTATAGGGACCAAAAAGCATGAAGAAAATAATGTTTCTTAATCAGTGTTTCAATGACCTCTGGTATTCGCCAGCCCCATTTTCAAGAAGAACTATATTGATAAAATGTCCTAAACCAATTATTCTCCAGTCTATTTCAGCTCTTGAATTTGGTGGATACTCTCAGTAGTACTTTTCTGGTAAATATCAGTAAAATTGATGAGAATAAGCATATGTGGCAGACCAATGGTTACTGTTTCTTAGCCAACAGCCTCATGTACACTCGTATCTGTGTGAACCTAAGTCACTGTGCAGTGGTAAGTAGATCAGTTTTCCAAGAACTATTGAAACATGACAAGTTGATCAATATACATTCAATTAATTGAAAATGATTAGAATTGGTTCCAATGATTACCCGACCCTTGACAGATATTCTGACTATTGAAAATATGTTGTTGCAACATTGTCCATCACTACAGAGGAACAAATTCATTCTTTCAAGAACTGAATACAGGACTCAGATGAAGCGGCTGTGTTCGGTACACTGATAGCAGTTTTAGCTCTCCCGAAAAAAGTATCTTAAAACAGTGTATTAACCCACATGGTTTCCTGAATAGCAGTTGTCTTATCACGTATAAACTACACGGTAAATATTGTAGCGACAAAAACTTGAGTACACAAAAAGGTGTCTTGGCGAGAACACAGACGAATTAGTAGCAAGACGTGGAGCAAAAATGAGGCTTGAAGAATGCTTAATTATGTGTTGACACATTCACTCCAAACCAAAGAACATAAACCATTAGAGCGCTGACAGCGCGTGACTATCCAATACTCCAAAATGCTGTTTCTATTTTAGGACTTATGCCTATATAATTTATGTAGTAATCTCAGGAATTTTCAAACTCATAAAGCCGTAGATACTGAGCCAAACTAGCAGTTAACAAATAGTAAAGGTACGAGTTTCTGACCACAAACACGAGCAATTAGGCAAATCCAACCATGATTGTTAAATGGAATCTTCAAAAAGATTGGAAAGGTCGTAATTAAGATATTTCCATGTTCAATTTCACTTTTTCCTGTTCAGTGAAACCTACGTAAAAATGCACCACTAGTTAAGTAGCTGGAAGACTATAACACTACTATGCATATCAAGTTAGAAGGCAAGGTGGTTTCCTCGGTAACCAGTTTCCACATTATTCGAATCAGGATAAAATTTCCAACTCAAATTGTGCACGCTAACCATGTTTGCGTTATTTTACTATGAGGTTGATCTCACTTGTTGTTCGAGGTTACTTGGGCGTTCGCTTGGCACGCTATACCTCAGTCTAGCAAATTGTTTCCGAAAAATCCATGTCAAATTTAGAAAACGAAGCTTAAATAAGCGAAATCTCCTCTCAGTGCAAGATCCAGCACAGCTCCAAGGTTTTCAAGGACTGTAAGGGACCACAGATATTACAGGAACACAAATAAGAGCTGGGAAACAACAGCACAACAATGAGTTTTAAACTCGCATTAATCCACCAGAGAGGGAGCTGGCAAACCAAGCATTTAAACTGCATGTGGTTTCCGTATAAACTTACTTCCATTGAGTCTTAACAACCGACTGTGTGCGTAAGCTTGCTTCGCCAACATCTTTGGCGAAAGAAACCGAAACACCCGCGCAGCAACCTGACCTTCACTACAACCCTCACTACATTCAGATTTCTGATTGAGAAATGGAGGAATGAAGCTTATTTTAAGTCTTTTATTTAGGGAATCCTTACTTGTATTTTTGAGGTTGTGCGCTTTCCCTTTGTGCTAGTTAACAAACAAGTCCTTAGGATATTTTCCTCTCAAATAACAACAACGTTCATTCTATTTGAATTTTTGTTCCTAGACCATATTCTCAAATACTGAACTCACTACTTAGAGTCTGAACAGCCTATTGATTAAATAGCTTTTGGAGTTTGTTTAGACTGGTAAGGGTATTTGTATTAACGACATATTTGTTATTTTACATGCCCTACTAAAATCTTTCCCAAGATTCACCTTAGCTTTCTCTCGCCGTTAAGTTTGTTAGAAAAGAAAAGCAGTTTCGCCGAGGCCTCAGTAATGTGCTGGATTAAGGGTTCTCATCTAACAGAAAAGCTGTTAAATATTTCTTAACTGTTCTTTCCGCTATCTCAACTGGTGCTAGTAAGACTGACACAACTGTATTTTGAAGGGAAATGTTGGGTGCCTCTTTTAGGGTAGGGAATACTGCTGCATGCACCCAATATTAGTAGTAACCCATTGTATGGGCTGCCTGGCGATTGCAGTCAGCTGAATGACCATATGGGCTGCCAATTACGTGGGAAACCTATCATAAAGCTCCCCGGAATCCAGTGATTTGCTCGTATCTGGTTGTGATAAGATGCAACTTAAAAAGATGTGCTGTTCTCTGACAATGCGATAGGTAGTGAACACATGTGCGGTGGTAGTTCTTGCGTGAAGATTCTGGTGAAGTCATCTTCTATTAGCTCTATTTTGTCGTGATATCTCTTGAAGACTTTAACATCAGTAACCCAAATAGGAGTTCCATTATGTCCATGTAATTAACGAATTCTTTGGGACGTTCATTTGAATGCTGGACAAGAATTTCAAACGTAATGATTAGCCACCTTCAAATCTTCTTATGCTGAAGTATATAGCTTTCAAGCCTACGAAAACCCAAGTTTGCTGAACCCGTTAAAGCTCTTGTGTCTTCTCATTATGAACCGGCTTATCCACAAGGAAGGGCAATTTCTTAATTCCGCAGAAGCAGTCCAGACTATGTAGGATTGGGTAAGGAGGCCATTTTTGCCTGACTTGACCGAATGCAAAGTGAACATGGTACTTAAGATTTGTGGTCCAATCTCCAGATGAAACAGTAGGGATAATGGCATTTAAGCCCGTTTCCAACACGCTTGGTATAGTGGGGATTCCTACCTGGGATCCTTTGGCAGCAGCTAACCCACAAAATGAACTCGGAATGATTAATTTTCTACATAAAAAGGTGTCACATGACTCTGTTACAGTTGCTTTGAGTAAAATATTTAGTCCGAACCCGAGAAGTGCCGGGAATCTTGCTGAGGAGAATATTAGGGCCACTAACATACCAGTGTGCTACCATTTTCTTCGGTTTTTACAATCAGGTGATGGGACTGCAATCTGAAGTCTTTTAGCCCTATTCTTGTATTGATGATCTCTGGTTTTGACATGCTAATCCAGAGTTTAGCCTGAAACGTCATGAAATAAGGATCCCGAACTCTAATTTCAGTGTTCACGGCATTTTTGCTTTCGAAAATTGGCTTCTAGATTGGTGTCATCACAGTCGGCCTCTTGGTTAATCCCGAGGTAATAAGAGGTGAAATGTATAATTTATTAACTATGCATAAAATTCTTCCCGTGATTGTGGATGAATATCTGTTTCTCGTAGTCAATTCTACATCAAACAAATTTACTCCATGACTGAATTATACTTTACCACAGTTCCCAGTTTCCAACCTTATATCAATGGCGTGTGTTTCGACACAGCCCCATTAGCATGTATTGGGGAGAGAAAAGGGCCTAAAAGAGAAAGGCTTTTCATTGGTTTTCATGAAGAGGAGACTAAAAACTCGACTGCTGTCTCTCCTATCTCCATTAAACATCATATTTTTTAATAATAATAATTTACTTTATTCCAAAAACAGTACTTATAATACAGAATGGAATTCTCAGCATTTGTCACAATATAGCATCTGATTTACTCAAAGTATATATAAAATTTAAAATTAAAACAAAAATTAATCGGAGGAATTTGTCCACATTAACGACATAATTATTAGATATAATAATAATAAGTACTAACAACAGTAAGTTTGTTTCAAACGGTATTGTCGATTCAGTTTGGAAACTTTAGCATGTTATGGATAATTGGGTCTAACGTTCTGTTGATATGGTATGGTGAGGTGAAATACAAAGTTAGCAGTCACAATACAGCTTAAAATTATGTCCACAGTTATGAAAAATAAAGTAAACAAAACGAAAAAATTGAGAGGATTATAAATATAAGAAATACAATAACAATAAAGTATGATGCTTTAAGGTTGAAGGAAATGGTCTATTTAGTGGTGGTAAGAAGGTTAGTTAGTTCACTTCTGACACTATCTTCATCACACAGAGTACGTGCTAAATATGGTATAGTGGAATTTTTATACTTAGACGTACGTGCATAAAGTCTTCTGAATAGACTTCTTGTTTTCAAGTGTTGGTTTGTAGGGATTTTATTGGTTTCAGGATTTTCATCACGAGCTGACATTAGTTAGAGAACCATTGGAAAACCTGGGAGTATTGGACAGCCGTTTCATCCTAGTTTGGGACTCTTCAGGAGTATGCACCCACGGGGATTCTAACCCAGGACCTTCTGGTTACAAGGCGAGCTCGTATACCATTAAGCCACTGGGACCCGATCCAATGGCCCATGAATTCTAACTTCTGCCAATTCACGACATAGCGCGACCCCTAGCCAATGTCTTCGGCGAGTATTTGTTTTTCTTGTTTTACCTGAGGAGACACAAGGTTGGAGCTGCTGGTAGAGTGGATGCTCACAGTCTGACAAAATTCATCTAGCGAATCTGTTGCATGACATCAAATGCCTATCGGTGACAATGCCAACGATATGGCCCAATGGGATACCACTCGTCCTACTGACAGTCTTCAGAGTTCTACGAAGTATGACATAGTCCTTTTTTAGCAATCCAGGAAAGAATAATCGTGAACAGTAAAGAAGAATAGGTAAAATACACGAGTTGACAAACTGTAAGAGGAGTAGTTGGGTTATGCCTGAGCGCCTCAACTTCTTAATGTGAAAAGTCAGACGAAATATTCTTTGAGAAATCGTTAAGACATGAGAAGACCAAGATAGATCAGAAGAGAGAACTAATCCAAGATACTTAACTTCAGACTTGGTTTCTATATCAGTATCATCGATTTTGCAAGGGTCATAGGAACCAACGGCTTCATTTAACTTTCGTTTACATCGGAAACTGAAATTAACAGTCTGACATTTGGAAGGATTGAGTTTAAGGCCGTTAGACGAAGACCATTTGCTAAATTCTGATAGAAAGTTGTTAATCTTAATGCAGTCAAGTTGAGAGTTAACAGACATTGAAATAGTTAGATCATCCTCATACTTAACAAAGTTCATTTCATCGGAGTGAGGCAAGTCATGCAAGAAGAAAGAAAACAGAAAAGGAGAAAGGACAGCGCCTTGAGGGACACCAGCCTCAGGAAGCAATGAAGTGGACGACTTTCCCTGACATATAGTGTATTGCTTTCTTTCTGAGAAATAAGAATGGAGCCATTTGACAACACTACAGTCAGTTTGAGTTTCAGCAAGCTTGTTTAGTAAAATGTCCCTAGGTACTGAGTCGAAAGCAGATGTATAATCTAGAAAGGTGCAGCGAACAAATTTAGCCCCCTTGTCTAAGCTGGAGACAATGTTATGATACAAAACTGCAGCTGCGTCCAAAGTACTTCTACTATGTTTGTAGGTGAATTGTTTGGGATCATTAAAGGCTTTAAGTGAAGGTTGAAGATTAGGTAAGAGCAACTTTTCCATAGCTTTTAGAAAAGGGGAAGTAATAGCAATGGGTCTGAATTTAAAACATGTCGCAGTAGAGAACTTAGGAATAGGTACAATTTTAATGTCCTTCCAAGCGGCTGGCACGACATTTTTGGAAAAAGATTCATTAAATATGTCCATGAGAGGACAACACAGGGTATCTGCAGAATTTTTAGGAATAACACTAGGCAAACTATCTGGACCCAGGCTACAAGAAGGGTTCATAGACTGGAGACATTTTAGAACGTCATTTGTAGTAAATCCAGGGAAGCAGGTTTCATTAATACTTGTAACACTAGAAAGTTTGGCATTTGTGGGGGAATGTATGAAGGACTTGTTTAGTTTGGAAACATCAAGGGGAAAAGGAAAACTGTTCATCTGCTTACCACCAGTAATTTCTTTGAAAAGTTTCCATATGTTAGACGCATTTTTACAGGATATGAACTTTTGGTTGTGAATTGAATTCAGTCTGTGCATTTCCGACTTTATTGGGATGTTAATTCTTTTCAAACCACCATTATCCTTCATTTTATATCATTTTTCTTTCTGTCTGCGAAGCTTTTTAAGTTGAGGAGAGGAGAAACGGTCAAATCTGATGAAGAGCGTTTCTCTGGGACAACAGGTATCAAGACAAATTTTGAGATAACTTGTAATATTAGAGATTGTGTCATCAAGAGAGTCTTCTTTAAACAGGTCCCACCTTGTATCTCTGAGCATGCTTCTGAGGTTCTGAACATTCTCCATAGAGTAACATCCATGTGCAGTTTTCTTTGAAAGGTGTGAAAAAGTTCTCTTGTGTAATTTTCCATAAATTTTAGGTAAAACCCGTACAATACAATGATCTGAGTTAAAAAGTGGAGCTTCGTATATTCCGGAGTCGTTGATAAATACAAGATCAAGGGAATTTTCCAGTCTGGTGGGAAAGTTAACAACATTTTCATGACCTATCACTGTGAGAAAGCTGCAGTCACATGAATTAAAATCACCTGTCACTATGGACAGGGAGTTACCAAAAGAGGCGGCAGCG